CCATTGTACCTATAATAAAATATACCCTTAGAATAGGTTTTCTGCTTATAATATTGTTCTACAGCATCTATTTTTAGTCTGATATGTTTGTGATTTATTACAAATCTAAATATAGCTCACATGTGTTTCATGATTAAAAATTCTCAGAAATGGGATATTCTGGATCACTGATATGTTTTCTGTATGTTTTTTCTACCTAAAGAGCATCCAGATATGTTTTTACTTGAGATCCAGAATGTTTGTAATTTATTACAAATCTAAATATAGCTCAGATATGTTTGATGATTCAAAAATCTCATCCTGGATCAGCATTGATGACTGGTATGTTTTCCTGTATTCTGTGGATGTTTTCTTTTTGCCCAAAGAGCATCCAAATATGTTTTTTCCAGGGTTGGACAGATCTAAATATAGCCCAGATATGTTTTATGATTGAAAATTCTTGGAAATGGTATATCCTGGATCAGCATTGTTGACTGGTATGTTTTCTTGTATTCTGTGTATGTTTTTCTTGCCAAAAAAGCATCCACATATGTTTTTCCATCTCATACTTCTTCCAAAAAAGCTGCATTTCACCAGAATATTCCAATTGTTATGATTCTCAGTTTTCTCCATCAAAACTTGTGTTACAGCTACTCAAGGCTACCAAGTAATCTAGAAATATATTTCCGATTTTTTCAAAAAAATTCCGCCTCAATTAGAGATGTGGAGATGATGGATGCGCAAGTCATGTTCCGGATGACCTTTGTTCCTTGATCCTTCTAGGTAACAAACAAATGTCAACAAATGTAGCCCTGAAGGGCGCCATTCAAGTTAATGACAGAACTAACTCCATATTTCTTCAGTTGCAATTGGTTTCCATCATATAGTATGTATTTTGTATTTCAAATCAGCAGCCTTTCGGATGGATGGCTCAGGTTCCAGCTGGATGACATTCCCAAAGGTGTTGCAACACAAGTACAAATAGTTTCTGCTCTAGTGCCCAGATCTTCAAAAGGCATGGTTATTCATCCTCTACACTTGTATCTAATGAACAATATACATTTTAGTACTCTTAAAGTAGAACAGAATCCAATTTTTTATGTTTTACATTCACGGCGCCCTCGCAAGTGGATGGATGCAACAGAGTGAACTTGGATGACGCGTTTGAAGCTGTAGACAAACAGATGCAAAGTTCTCAAAAAAACATCGGAAAAACAACTGAAATTGAGCCAGGAGAGGAAGGGAACACTACCCTGACATTGGTAATACATATCAGTATGTTGAATTTACAACATTGGACTTGCTCCCTTATCAGAAGTTGGATAAAAATTGTAGAAAAGGAGTGTCCCTGTCTGTAAATGTCAAAAACATATCATTCCAGCAACTTGTAAACTAATACATGCCAGCTATAGCCTACCAGCATTCAGTGCATAAGTAAAGGAATTTTAGGACAGGCAGTGTCAAATTTTGAGTGAAAGAACACACCTGAAA